AGTGCAAGTGGCATGTGACCTCTTCCACATTTTGTTGTAGGCCTTGTAAGCAGCTGATTGCCATTGAGACTGGTGGTGCACTTTGGTTGCTTGCCAGCGCAGTTCCTTCATGACTTCGGAGCATGCCTTGCCAAGCTGTTTTGGACCAACATATGTACCATCACCCCGTCGATCTCCTCTCTTCTGATCAGCAGGTTTGTGCCTGGATGCTCTGCAGGCAGTGCTGCTGGGCTCAAGCACCAGAGCTTTCCAGGCTGCGGTATGAGAAGCACTTGTAGACAAGGCAGGACAGTCTCGCAACGCATGGCCTGGCTCGCCACAGCCATAGCAGGTGGGGTCGAGTGGCTCAGCTGTGGCATGAGTGGAGGGGCCAGGATCACCATTGTTCCCATCCCCCTCTCTGTCGAACAACTCCTTTTGGAGATGAGAGACCTGCATCGCTGCTGCCAATGATGTGTCCCAATCGTCTTCCTGAACGGGAATTAGTCCAGAGTCTGACGACTTGAACTGGCGGTAGGACTTGCTCCTCGTGAATCCTCTGTGGTTGGGGGTCGGGAGGTGTGACTGTGCCTGAGCGGTATTCCTGCTAGACGACAGTAGTCATTCAGGGTCGGTGTCGGGGGATCTTGCTCACTGCTTGCCCTTTCCCTTGGAGCCAGAGTCATCGTCATTGCTCCAGCTGTGGGCTGGGGATTCTGCTGGCAGGTCGAGCTGCTTGGAGGAGGCATTGTCGTTGTCTGCAGCAGTGGAGATGCAGGAGGATTGCCTTCGTTGGATGGTGACTGCATATCCCCCGCTTCCATGGTGTCCCAGCGACGAAGGTCGGCCTCACCAATGAAGGAGCTCTGCTGAGGAGGTGGTCGAGGGAACCAATGAGACCAGTCGGCGCTGGGACCATGGGCAAGCTTGAGATCTGAGACATTGATGGTCGACTTGAGCGTTTGACCTTGACAGGAGACAAGCTCAGCCACCCCCTCGACAGAGATGCTCGATACCAGAAAAGGACCGCTCCAGGGAGGGTCGTACTTGCCTGCTCTTTCCAGACAATTCCTTGCTAGGACGATATCCCCCACAGCGATCTCTGGCCGGTCCAGATGGGACCTTTCGCGAAGGAGGGCTCGTCGTTCCATGATCTGGCGAGCTCTGACATTGGCAGCAGTTCAGAACTTGTCGAAATGTCTTGCTCTTGCTGACCGAGCCTCTAACTCGTGGTTCCGAGAAGCGTTCGGGGCGTCTGAGGCATTGTCGGTTGCCTGGAACTGGAAACGAGGGTGGTGGCTGTTCATCATGAAGAAGGGAGACTCACCAGTCATTTCCGACCTGGTGGCATGGTATCCAAACAAAACTTGGTTGAGGAGCTTGGGGTTGTCCCAATTGAGTTGGTGTTGAGCACCATATCACTTGAGGGCATTGAGGAGGATACCGTTGAATCGCTCGACCTTGCCATTGGTCTGTGGGTGGTATGGGGAGATGTAAATGATCCTGATGCCCAGAGAACACATGTAATCACGGAATCTGAAGGATATCCATGCCGAGCCATTGTCGCATATGACGGATGATGGTTTTCCATACCTGTAGATCAGATTCTCCATCATGTGCAGTGCATCGGCAGTATTCTCGTTCTTGGTGGGGAAGGCGTGTGCTTGACCTGTACAGTAGTCGATCGTGGTGATGAGCTTCGTGTTGCCCAACCTTAAGCTGGGCAGGGACAGAAAATCCAGCCCCCATCATTCGAAGGTGTCCATCCTAGGTAAGGGATGGAGGGGACCATAGCTCCTCCCCAGATTTGCCACGATCTGACATTCAATGCATAAGTGTGCCACTGCTCCGCAGATGGCAAGCATGGCTGGGAAGGCATATCGATCTGTAACCAGATTCTTGAGAGCACTTTGCTTTCGGTGTCCTCCCTCGTCATGTAAGGCCTTGGTCAGAGAGCAAGCTCTCTTGAATGAGGTGATGACAGCTACCCGAGAGCCCAGCTTGTTGAGACAGAATAGATGGCTGTCTTCGACAAACAACTGTAGCACCCAGTGCTCCACTTTTTGCAATGCCTTGGCTACATTGCCATCATCGAGCCTGGCCGTGTCCACACTGGGCAGAGCTTCCTCAGTGGAGACTGAGTTTCTGACAGCTGTCTCTGCAATGGACAGCACCTTCTGTTCGATGGAGAGCCAGGTGGAATGACCCTTGCAAGCTATGCTCTCAGCAACTGCTTCCGCCATACCAGGTTTGATAGCAAGCTTGCCATCAGACGCATCGGTGGTGAGCCTCTCGAGAGCGGTAGGTCTGGGAGGGCCAATGAGAGCAGGCCTTCTTCCAGTGACCAAAACCTGCTTTAAGTCATTGCTGGGTTCATCATTGTCAGCCAAACCGGGTCATTGGCTTAGGGCATCTGCCACTATGTTTTCCTCACCCTTTCGATAGATGATGTGGGGATCATACTGCTCAATATGATCGAGGTAGCAGTACTCGCGTGGAGTTAGCTCACATTGGGTGCAGAAATAGACGATTCCTTTGTGGTCTGTTACCCAAGTGAAACTGCCAGGAGCTCCATCGATGTAGCAGCAGAAATGAGTCATGCTGGCAATGCCACCAAGAAGCTCTCGCTCCCTGGCAGAGTAGTTCCTCTCTGTCTTGGATAGATGCTTGGAGAAGAAGGCAACTGGCTGCAGAGCTGACTTGGGGGGTAGTTCCCAGTCGTTGAACTGTTGGCCCTGCCAATCATGGCGAACTTGAGATAGAACTGCACCAATGGCAGTGTCAGATGCATCTGACTCGATGTAGTAATGCCTGTCGAGTTGGGGAAGACCCAGAACCATATTCTGTACTGCTGCTTTGAGCTCATTGAACACACACTTTCGAGGCTCTGTCATGTCAATTGCTGCTCCCTTCCGGGGACTTCCCTCGGTCAGCTCGTAGAGTGGGTCAGCGATCCCAGCAAATCCTTCGATAAAACGTCGGTAATATCCACACACATTGAGGAATCCTCGGATGCTTGTGATGTCGGCTGGGAACGGCCAGGTGGTAATTGCCTCAACCTTAGCTGGCTTGGGCATTATGGTCTTACCACTGTTGATGATGTGACCCAACATCTTAATCTCCTCCTTTGCAAAGTGACACTTGTGGAGTGACAAGACAAATCCAGCGGCCTCGAGGGTGGCGCAAACCTTGTCGACGTCCTTTTTGTGTGTCTCTAGGTCAGGGGAGAATACTGTGATGTCATCCAGGTACACTATGCAACACTGGTTGATGAAGTCGGCCAGAACGTCGTTCATTGCTCGCTGGAACATGGCAGGCACATTCGTAAGACCCATGGGCATGACATTCCATTCGAAGTGGCCATACCGGCAGGAGAAGGCTGTCATGCCCTTGTGACTTTCCTTCATTGGGATCTGCCAGAACCCATTCAGGAAATCCAAACTGGTGAAGTAGCGGCTTCCAGCCAGCAGGTTCAACGAGTCGTCTGCACGAGGGATTGGGTAGGTGTCCCGGCAGGTAACTCGATTGAGGGCATGATAGTCGATCATGACGCGCTTCTTACCATCCAGTTTGGGTATGATGTGCACTGGGGAAGACCAGGCAGAAGAACTATGTCGAATAGTGCCGTTCTCCAGACTTTCATTAATGAAATCATGGATCGCACGGTCTTCTGCTGGTGAGCGACGACGTGGGGGCTGTCAGATCGGACACAAGTCGGTGAGATCGATCTCATGTTCGATCTTGGCCCTCTTTGATGGGTCCATGTTTAATTTACTGGAGAATAAGGTTGGGAATCGCTTAGCAAGGCTTGACATCCAATCGCCGAGATTAGACTCAAACTGAGGAGGTGCCTGAGTCTCGAGTACACTAATTACCTTCATAGCCGAATCCTTGGTACTCATATCACAGCTGACCTGTACCACATGTCCGTTGATCAGCAATTTCAACCTGGGGGCAGGCTCGTCATCGTGCCAGACAAATTTGGCTCGGGTCTGTCACAGGAAGGGTAATCCTGCAATGAGACTGAAGTCGCAGCCTTCATGGAGGTCAAGGGCGAACACCTCAAGCATTACCCATTGTCTGGCAATGATCAACAGGAGTGTGACCAACTTCGAAGCAGTTGTAATCTCGCCGGAGGCGGTCTGGATGACCTCCAAACCGCATTTACACTCTGTGATATGGGTACCATTCTTTCGCAGGAACTCGAGGAAGTCTCCAGCAACATAGTTGTGGGAGGCACCAGTGTCCACAAGCATGAACACTCGTAAACCATCGGGAAGATGGATATTGATCTTTGGCAGATGATCAACCATGGACACCATATGCAGGGTATGCATGCTGGCGTGCTTGGTCCTCTGTGGACAGTCGCAGGAGAAATGACCAAGCTTATGACAGTGATAGCACTTGGTGTTCTTGTCTGCAACCAGAGCAGGAAGGGTGGGTGTGCGCTTCCTTGGCTCGGATCAGCGAGTGCTCTTCAGGTGACCATTCCTGGTGGACTTGTGGGAAGTGGCATGGAGTGACATAGGCCTGCGCTCCACCTTCTTCCATGCATCGAAGCAGGTAGACTGTCTACCAGAAGAGTCCTTGGTTGTGCAGTCAGCGAACTGACTCTGCACAGCCATGTTGCCATTCTCGAAGTTACAAGCCTCTTGCACAACCTCCTCGAAGTTGTCAATGATGTTCTTTTGTTGGATATCATGGATGAGGTCATGGTACCTAGAGGGGAGCTTCTCGCAGAAACGATTGACCCACTCAGAGTCCATGAAGCTGCCTGGTGGAGCAAGTAACACGAGCTTACAGAAGTTCTTGATATAGCTGTCCATGTCCTTGAAAACAAGTGCCTTGATCTTGCATCTTGCCATGAAGGCTGGGTTCTGTTCTTTGTGAGCCTCCAGGAAGGCTTGCCGATAAAGGGTCCAAGAGAAGGAGGAATATTTCTTCCTGAAGACATGCCACCACCCAAGTGGGGAACCCTCGAGACAGCTAGAGATGGTGACTGGCCACCTGCTCTTGCTGACTCAGCCGTTGACCAGTACTTCCACGAAATCCTGAAGCCATTCACCAGCAGTCTCCTCAGTGGAGTCATTGTAGGGGCAGAACTTGGGGATGTGGGCATCCTTGGAGGCATCGAAGATCTCATGGTCATTGGTGGCATCATTGAGATCCTCAGACCAGTCGATCTTGTCTTCGATCACTTGAGCTAGGCCGACGTCTCCAGCATCCTGTGTGTCGGTGGCGGAGGCCTCTTGCTTGGCCGGCGAGGGCATCACTTCATCAGAGGGGAGCAGACCCTCAGCAGGCTGCTGAGGGACAGCGTACTCTTGGATGATCTCATGCATGCGTTGCTCATTCTGTTGGGAGAGCTGAGCAAAATGGTCATCGATGGCCTGGGTGAACTGGGTGGGGAAAGCGCCCAGCTTACTGTTGATCTTGTCGATCGACAGCTTCGTCTTGTTGCCCAGAGCTTTGATGCTATCAGAGAGACTGTCAAGGCTGTTCTGCGTCACAGTCTTGACCTTCGCAAACTCTACGTCATTTGCGGCTTTGAACAGGTCGAACTGCAGATGGAGCCTGGACAGTTCGGTGATCTGGTTCTTGAGTGCAGTGAGGGTAATGTCCAAAGCACTAAACTTACCAAGAACAGTCTCCTTGGTGATCTTCTCTTCTTCGTAGGAGACGAAGAACGATCGCATTTCGGCTGACAACTGGGAGGTGTGGGCTGCGAGGCTCTCGAGCGTCGGCGGTGGCGCCAGGAGCTGGAGGGGGGCTGACATGTCGTAGGGTAGAGGTAGAGAAGATGAGGGGTGTACAAAAAGAGATAACTACACACCAGGGGTAGCAACCACTTTATCGATAAAGTGTTTCCTAGGGCCTTCAAGTACGTTAGAAGGGAAGCTTGGATTAAGAAGTGAAGGGGGAATGTGAATCCTCTCTATATATACCTTACATGCCTGACTGTGTTCTGCTGAGTGCCTGAAGGGCGCTCCTAAGTACAAAGGGGAGCAATGGTGATTAAAGGGAAGTGATAGCAAACAAAAGGTAGTGGGGATTCATGCGAGAGAATCAAAGGGGTCCGTAAGGGACTTCCGACGCGTGTTCAGACAGGCTGTCTGGAACAGATGACAGCATGCCTGAACCTGCTTGTCGGCGGTCGCATGCCTGGAACCCGAAATCTATTGTAAAGGCCAACTAGAATCAACCTCGGCGAAATCTATTGTAAAAGCCCTCTATGATCTTTCTTGCTGAAATCTATTGTAGAAGCCTCTTAGGATCCTTCTTGCCCAAATAGATTGTAACTATGGTTTAGAACGGATTTCGACTAACTGCTGTGGACACTCCGTCCAGTGGTAGTACGGTGTCATAGGACCATCTGCGCAGAAGAACGGGACCCGAAGGAAGAGAGGTCATGCACAAGAATCACAAGATCGGGTGACTGAGGAGTTCCAACAAAGTTTGGCAAGATCAGTAGTATCTATGTCTTATGACAGAATTCATCAGGGTCAGTAGTATTGAGACCTTACAGCAGGATTCATCAGGATCAGTAGGACCAGGACAATACAACAGTTCTTGATGAAACTGGCCAGAGGGCACCCCTCCCATGGACCCCACCAGGGGACAAGCAAAGGACAGGTTACCACCCAGATGAGGGAAGGGCCCTACACAATGATGAGCTTGGCATAAGAGACAGACACTGGCAGCAGGAGCAGATGAAAGAGGGTATGTCCCACCACTCAGAGAAGGTGGGAGCAACCCCTATCAAATGATGAAGCAGCACTGGGTCTCCTTGACCACAAGGAGTAGGAGAAGCAGTATCACAAAGAGTATACACCCTAAAAGTGGCAAGGGGCATAGGAGAGATGGGAGGAGGAGGGGCAGCACTGAAGGAGACCCTATGTCAGCGGTCGCGCGCCTGAAACCTGAGATCGGTAGTTGTATCAATACTATTACCAATTCTGTCGAGTTATGCAACAGCACTTGTGGTATTGCGATTCTTCACATGATATGCAGTAGAGCCATCTCTATTACTTTTCTTGCTCGAATCTGTAGTTGTGATGATGCTATTGCAGATTTCAACTGACCACTGTCAGACACTCCATTCAGAGGTAGCTCGGCACAATCAATAACTATGTGAACTTGCTGATGACACCAAAGGTCTGGTGTGAATATGGATTGGTGGCATTGACACAAGTGTCCAGTGCATCGACTATGCTTGAGGTGATCCCTGGACCACAGTGGACGACTGCCTTCAGTTCTATTGATATCCAGGCCACTGGTTTGCTAAGAACCACCTTCGGATGTCAGGAAACAGTGATACAACACATGTGCTTTGATGAGGAGCAATCTATTGATTGCAACTTATGCTGACTGAAAACTAATGAGTACTTATGTTTCTAAAGTATTGACTAGTTGTATGGTGAGTAGAGTGGATGACCCTCCACTCGACCATTTGTGATGAGGAGGTAGGACTATATGCCTCTTTGCAGTGTCACCAGTGACACTGCTCCTGCTTCCTCTCTCCAGAGAGTACCCTCTTCGTCGAGTACTGCACAGGGATCTCCAAGGAGGCACCTCCTCCATATCAAGCCTTGTCCCTCCTGTCTTTCCTGAGCTGTGTCAACTTCATCGACACTGCTCCTCCTCTTCATGTCCCTTTCACCAGTGTCCTATACACAGATCTCCTTCGTTTGACTGGCAATGGTTCTCTTCTACTCCTGTCCTGTGGGCCCCTGAGTGGTAACCAACCACGTGTCACTGAGCTCAGTCCCTCTTGCATGTGAATCGTTGTATGGACATCCTTACTACTGATCCCCATGGAATCTGCCACACATTCTCACTTGCTGCAGATTCTGGTGGGATTCATGATATCGATGATGCTCGTGCCAATTTCGCTGTGGTCTGCCATAGAGCTGATTCTACTGCCGATCTCAGTGAACTCTGTCGCAGCTCCTATGATCTACCCAATTCCACGATTCCTGCACTACCTTCATATGAACCTCGGTCTTTCCCCATTCTGTGCACCCAGGCCCATGACATTACCCCCCTCTTAAGAGCCGAGCTCTGTTGAGGCATGTCCTGTGCCATGTTTGGACCATACCACCATCTCTTCACCATCCAATCCCATCCCCATGTCACTGTATCTCACTTGCTCCAAGACTGCCACTGTTGCGCCTCCTGCTGAGGTGGCGATGACATCCTCTCGTTGTTGTCGGGTGGTATTAAGGCTACACCCCTGTGAGGATCCTGCCACAGAGGCGAATCCTCCTGCCCCCTCGGTCCCAGCCCAAGTGGCTGACCCCCTTGCTCCTCCAGTGGTTCGTTCACCACTGGAGCCCCTTTTCTTGGGGATGGATGATGACATCATCATCTCCAGCCCCCTCCCCTCTCCTTTCCTCGCTCCTGTCATTCCCAACCCTGTGGGGAACGACTTCTCTCCCACTTCCCCAGTGGTCGACCTATACGAGGTCGATGCTAGACATTCCGCCATAGAGATGACCACTCCAGAACATCAAGCAGCTTGGGAGGCAGAGTTGGCCAGGTCCCCAACTCCTCCTCCTACTGCTGATGAGGTTGTCGATGTGGTCCTGGCTGCTTCCAGAGCAGGGACCCCAGTCTACAGGCCAGAGGTACAACCTCTGACCCCTCCTCCTCGCTGGGTTGGGCATCAAACACCACCCCCCCCTCCTCCAGATCAACATCTCCCTTCCAATCGGGAGATTGCTGGCTGGGCTGAAGGGTTTGTCACAGCCAACCTCCTGATGCGAGTTGCGGATGGACACTATCCATGCGACTGGGATGTGCCCATTGGGTCATTGGTGGCGAAGCATCTTCATTGACTGGTAATGCTTCGCCTCATGGAAGGTTGCATGCCTTGGCTGAGTTGGCAGTGTCATCGCTGCTTCAACCTGGGTGTACCGTAAGTAGTATCTCCTGACCTTCCTGTTCGATTCTTGATGGCTACTGACCTTTCTAGCCCTCTCTTTCTTAGTTGTTTCTCCTCTGCATTCACCAATCCATTTGGTGAGTGAACTAGGATTCCTCGTGCCTGTGTGCACTGCTACTTGGCTGGGTTGGGACATTGCGAGCACAATATCCCTGCTCATCCAGGTATGGATTACACCAGTGATGGGACCCCATTGATCCAGCCCCATGGTTCCCACCAAGTGGAGTGGGCCCATCTGACTGTGGCAGATGGATATGGTCCAGGCTTGGTTCATTCTGAGGAATGAACCACCGATCCAGTGATGACCTGCAGCTGGGTGACAGCCATGCAGGTCATTTGGCACTTTTGTCAGCCTGAGCTGGTAAGTTCCATCCTTTGCATGCTCCAGTTATATGTCAAGCATCATGACCGACTGTACTCAGAGCATCAGCCTCACAAGTCTGTGATGGAGTCTGGAGGTCCCCCAGACTTCCTTCATGAGCAGGTGGCTCCTACCGAGGAGGAGCTAGTGATCTGGTCCTCCCTTGCTCCTCCTCCTGCTCCTTCTTCATATGTCGACATGTAGCAACATGTCTCCTTCTGCAATGTTGATCCTTCTTGATCCTAAAAATGAGTCTGTGGCCTGACTCTTGTGTTGTTGCTTATGAGCCTGGCTGTTGAGTACCATGCTCTTGAAACACTTCTCGTATGGTGAGAGTAGTATTTCGGGTCCTCTCCCTGAAATCTGCCATACCACCAGTACTGTGACAGATTTCTGTGTAGTTCATAATAGTGCCTCTACTCTCACATTTTTCACTCAAATTGGTTCTAACTACCTTCTTACTGATTTCTCCTTCTCCTCATGCTTGTTAGCCTCGTCCCCCCACCAAAACCTCATACTCCTGGATGAGGTCAGGACAGTTGAGATTCAACAATGGTTCCCAAGAAGCAGCCTCCTCTGGGTACCCCCTCCAAAGCACTTTGTATTCTGTCATCCCGTCGTGTGAATGCTTGCCAACAATTGCTTCGACTTCGAAGTCAAGGTCTTCATCTGGCAGCGATGGTATGATTGGCTGTGTCAATCGTTGTGGTATGGAACTGTTCTTTGCTGGTTCAAGCAAAGACACATGAAACACATCGTGGACTCTGAGGTTTGCTGGCAATGTGATTCTATAGGCTCGTCGGCCCACCCTTTCTTGTACCAGATAAGGTCCTGTGAACCTGGTGTCCAACTTTGGTGTGGGTCGCCTGGTCTTCCAATTCTTGCGATTGATGTAGACCATGTCACCAACCTTGAATTCTATGTCCTTGTGTCTCCAGTTATAATGATTGACTGTACAATGCTGTGCCTCCCTGATCTGTTCTTGAAGGTACCTGCAGTGCTCTTTACCATCAAGCAAGTACTCAGAATGTTTGGGGTTGTTCACTCCTAGGTGTTGAGGAATGTCAGGATGGGCTTTTGGGTTCCATCCATAACATGCAAAGAATGGCGAGACACTGATGCTATTGTGTATGGTATTGTTGTACACAAATGCTGCAGTGTTGAGCAAGCTGGCCCAGTCATTCTGTTCATAGTTGCAGTACATATGAAGGTACTGCTCTACTACTTGATTGACCCTTTCCATTTGCCCATCCATTTGAGGATGATAAGCAGTGCTGAGCGAATGTTTCATACCCATTTGATTGGCAAATGCTTTCCATGCTCCTGAGATGAACTGCCTGCCTCGGTCTGAGACCATGTGATCTGGATAACCGAAGTGTCTAACCAGATGACCCCATAGCAGCACAGCAGTCTGTTTTGCTGTGACTGTTTTGTATGTAGGGGCCAGAATAGCAAACTTGGTCAATCTGTCA